CAATTTTGATTATGCAGTGCTGGGAAATAAAAACTGCCTACTTCTGGGTTGGGGGAAGTGGTAATTTACATTGTCTGGTATTGTACACTGAATAGTTATGGGGTGCCATGGCTGCCAGTTCTGTTGTCTTTAAAACGACTGCTAATTCCCAGTATGGAATCTTTCGTTTCTGTGCGCCGGACAGCAAAACAGACACATTGCGCGTGCGCCAAAAGTCTAGATATGGTATTATGGTGTCAGTAATGTTTTTATTTTTGTGTGCCGTTGACAAGTTCACAAGATGTGCCTCTGTGTCTGTGAGGCATTTTATAAAGCTCGCTTCGATTACTCGGTCTATTACTTTATTTTCAATTTAATGAAGGCAATTACAATCATATGAACAATAAACAATTAAACATTAAAAATCAGATTGCCAGGAATCATAAGAATGCCAAGGATATTTAAGAAGCTGAAAATCCAACTTTCTATGCTAAACCAAAAATATATGTAATTATGTATACACTGTTCGTGTTCATACACTGTTATGCTATCTATAATAATTGATTAACTTCTATTTCAAAAAAGGATAGCGTCCATCTTCATTTCGAAGGCGAGATAGCACTTGACTTGCCATGTAGGAGTCTGAAGAAGCGTTGTTCAAGTAGCCAACTCTGTGACGTGAGAGTCCAAAGTCTTTGTCGCCATCAATGTATAGTCGAGCTGCACGATTGACCACATCTGTTGATTTCAAGACATTGGACATGGCCCAGTCAACAAGGATCCTATCTTCTAATGTGACATGATCTTGGCCAACTTGCCTTTGTGTATCCATTACACTGTAAAAACTCTCGACCACGGCTTCACATCCTCCCATAGCCATCGCAACATCAAAAGCTGTACAAGCAACTGGACCAATTATAGTATATAGAACTTCGTTTGTGTATAAAGCACGAACGATTTCATCTTCCACTATGTATGCCTCAAAAGGCTCGTAGTTTGCATATGTGAATTGAAACAGTTGGCGGATGGCCATCTTGTGCAGTGGTTGTTGAATAGGTTGCATCTTCACCAACATTGTATCACAATCAACAGCCAAAGAGGTAGTAGGTAAGGTATTCTTTTCAACAGCAGCGAGGCAGGAGAAGAGCGTTGCCTTCATTTCTTTATCCCATATCAGGTGTCGAATGCCCTTCTTCCAATCGCGGAGTACACTTGACGACATTCGATGGTCAAAACGGTTGTCTTCAGCTTCCTTTATATGTTTGAGTTCACATACTTCTTTGAAGAAGATTCTGAATTCGTCTACTCCGTGTTCTTCAAGTTGCCCCTCATCTATTTGAACTCTACCGCAACCGAGCCTTTCCCCGCACACCAGTTTTGCTGTTTCTTCTACATCAAAAAATGTTGCCAATTGTGCAGCATGAGACACACACTTCGCCAGTCTCGCATCCAATGAAGTAGCAAGATCGGTTGCAAAGTTCCTCACATCGGTGAAGGAGTCTTCTATTGTGCGCTCCTCCCAGTTAACAAGGATTGCTTTCTTGGAATTTTTTCCATTGGCGTGGTGGTCGTGGGTAACCTCTTGCCCTGTTACTTTCCACCCAACACAAAGCTCAATGTTTTGGAACACTGGTCTTAGCAATACATCTTCATTTCCTGGATCTTTATCTAGGATGTCCTAGATAAAAAATAGAAAATTTGCGTATACGTTTCAATTTTTCAACATGTATGAGCAAATGCACCTCACAATCTCACATTACCTCGGCGTTTTCCTTCATCTTTGGAAAAAAATCCAGGTTTCCACCTTCATAGCAATCATGGCATGCACAATAAAGCCAGTCAACAAGCTGTCTTATCCATCGATAGCACTTCCACGCCGGAACAGAGATGCTTTGAAGTTCGATCATTATGGACGCAACGGGTTCGAATAAGTCGAGCATAAGGAGCAAATCAGTTACAAAGTCCTAAAAAAAAGAAGGAAATAACAGTGTTTTTAAGTAGGGAATTCCTGTAATTGAGCAAATTTTATACAGTTATGATGATTGCACAAAAACCTTATCAGTAATACTACGCTTTTCGAATCGATGTTAACACATTATGAATGCCAAACATTAAAAAAGGCAGGTCAAGAACAAAATGGAAGCTAAATTCTGACTTACCTGACCTTGCACCTTATACTGTAATGGTGGATCTTCTTTGTTCATTTCATCAGATGCTTCGGTTAGAGCTTCCACAAAAAGTCTATACGATTTGTAAAGACGTTTCCATTGAACAAACGCAGAACTAGAGAAGCGTGTTTGAGAGTAAACAGCAGAGACAGTTGCTCTAACGCCAAGTTTCTTTACCGTGGACTCCAGTATATTTCGTCCTATATGGAAATACACGTTAATAACTAAATTTATCGATAAACAATAAATGTTTGTATATACAGCAGTAGGTAATGGTTAATAATGACCTTTTCCCCTGTTTAACGAGTCCGCAAACGCATTTGTACGTGAAATGAAGTTTGAGAAAAATTGATTTGACGTTCCAACTTTTCCCTCTTTGACATCACCGACAGCAAGGTCTATCCAGTGTGCTGCATCCCAGCCAACTTTTCGGAGATATTTGCAATCTTTGGTACTATTTCCGCCTACGATATCTTGAAAACCACTAGCCTGGTAAACTCCATCTGCCGAGACTCCTTGTATAAGAAAATAAGTTTATCCATAATCAAATTCAATCAATTTAATGTTCACTCATCAATTTAATGTTCAAGTAATCAGAAGAATACAGTATACAATATGCTTTCTTCAGTACACCAAAAGCTTGATTAGCAGAATCATTTAACTTTCCTCCTTGCACACTGCCATCTTCCTTGCTACTGTAAACTTCGGGAGCTGCAACAGCAATTGCCACTCTTCGACCAGAAAGCATGGGGCAGATCAAAACAGCTTGGTTTGATCTTTTGTTCACCGTTGCTTTGTCCACTGTCATATAATAATGAGGTGGTAAGCCTGTACTTGGCAAGCACTTATAGATTTCTTCTTTTGTTTTCTCGTTTACTGCGACAAGTAAACATTTCACGAGGTCAGGAAAGAGTTTCCTTGAATGGCCACATTGGCCAACTTGGGCACCAACAGCATAGGCAAACGCAACTTGGTTTTCATAGTGCAATGCAGCCGACTTCGACTTCACAGATGTGATTGCACATTTAAGCAAAGTTTTTGCAGCATCGTAGTATTTTTTCTTCAAGTTAGATTCTTCATTAATTATTGTTAGAGCTTTAAAGTGAGTTTGGCCATCGGTCGCGCAAATCATGTGCTGCAGTATGCTACCTTTCAGCTTTCGCCAATAATTTCCTTTTCCTGACATAACCTGAGACATTTTATCTTCATCCAGGTATCTCCCAATGCATATGCTGTTGCATTGGGAAGATAGTTTGTGAGCTGCCCTGGCAGGTGTTAGCTTACTTGCTTTGTCTTTGTATAGAACAAAGCACGTCTCGCATCTGAGAATAGCACCACTCCCTTTTAACAATTCGATATCCTCAGCATTCCCTAAAGGATACAAGGCAAGACTTTCAATGCTGCTGATAAGTTCCACAATGTTTTAGACATCTTTCCAGTCCTTCATCTTGTTATAGCAGGATTCCATCTCTTTAGCAAAGGTTGTTGATGGCAATGATGCTGCACCAGGTACAGGTGTCTTGGTTAATTTTAAACTGTCGACTTTTTTGCTCAGATTCTCTATCATACTTAAGACTTTCTCTTCAAAGTCTGGCTTTTTAGTCTCAATGAAAGTTTCAATACCCTCTTGTACCATTTGTCTGGTCTCAATTACCGGTGCTTCTGCAACAGAACCACCGGCAGTCGTTATTGCTGTAGCTTGCTCAATATTATGCAAATCATTTTCCTCTTCTAATTCTGTTTCTGTGTGGGAATGAATCAAATCAGGCAAATTCGTATGTGATGTACTACGGTCGGCAAGAACATTTGGTTGTTTCTCTTTGCTTGACTTGTTGGAACTTTGGTTTGATAGAGTTCTTAAGTAACTAGGTACACGAACATGATTAATAGGTAAAACATCTTTGAATTTCTCCCTTGAGAAATAAGCATAATTTGTGTCTTTGTTAGCATGTCTGCGTTCATAATGTCTCCGTAGTTGATGAAGACTTCCACGACACAAAATTGCAATTTGCTTATCTTTCAAATTGTTATCGTTTGCACACAACATGCAAACATGCTTGTTTTTTGAATAATCCCGTTTATCTGCCAAAGGCTTCAAAGTAATCTCACTTTCACTTTGGATTTTGTCTATTGCTTTTGGTGCACCAGTTAGAAATGATAACATTGACATATTTGTCAATGTTTTACTTTTCTTTTTAGCCACAGGCTCAACATCATCGGTACATTCTGGGCCATCGTAACCCTCATCCAATGAATCTTCCATTTGACCTTTTGAATATAATTTAACTCACTTAGCCTTGGACTGATAGACTCTTAATTAACTTAGACAGTTACTAGTATCCTAATATAGTTTCATTAATAAAATGATATATCCATATTATATTATTTACACAAAATAAAAAACAGTTTCATTATATAGTAGCTAATATTCGTAACATACATGACTTTTATTTGTGTAGTTATACATATGTAAACGGATTTTTGGCAATCTTGAATGTTTGCCTCCGCCCCCCCCCCCCCAACCCACACACACAACACACACACACGAGCAAAATCCGAAAATCCGTTAGTTATAATGTAAAAAGGCAATATATACGACCGCCGACCAATACTCTAGACTATTTTTTCCCGCCATATATTATCACCATAATAAATGTCAGACTAGACTAGACATTCATCACAGTGACCAAATCTGCCAAATCACAACAAATAATATATATAATATCAATATATAGATGAGAAAGTAGTGAAACACGCAAAGTAAAAATTAAAAATTGTAAACTTATCTACTTAAATTTGGTTTAACACGAAAATCTCCATATCGCGCAGCGAGAAATTCCGACATTGAAAGTACTTTATGTACGTTAATTAATAGCGGCTTGCATTATCGCAGGCGCACAATCATGATTACGCAATATTATAAAATCGAATATATCAATTAAATAATTAAAACGTTTTGATCGAAGTATTGTTCTTTACTTTTAGACTTTTAAAATAGAAAATTAATAGGTCAGTGCAATTAACAATTACTGTAATTTGTAGTAAAAATACTCACTTTATGAGTTTATGTCGTATGTTTATCAGTGTATGTCTTATTACTTTATAGTTTATATACCATAAAAGTAGATTATTTTTGTGCGCCAGTAGGAAATTTTGAAATTTTTGTGCGCCGATTTGTGCGCCGGCCAACACAACTGTGCACCGAACATGTGAAGGATTGGGACCCTTCATTCCATACTGGCATACCAGTGATCTATAATCATGACATTCGTGTAGCCTGTTTATTATTCCTTAGAAAAAGCTCGAAAATTCCTCAGATTTCCTTAAAATTCCTTAAATTGGTAAAATTACTACAAGGCCTGATCACATAGTTGCAACGGAGAATGATATAATATAATGAACCATATAATATAATGCACGGTTGGGCATATGTGGGGTATTTGATCATCA